CCTGCCGGCCAGCCAGGCTGTCGCCACAACGCACTCTGCCATTGTAACATAAAAGCCACTGTAAACCAGAGTCAGCACGTGGGTGTAGCCACATGCCAGTAAAGCTTTGTGGATGCTGAGATTTTAATTTCATATAATTTTCACATGCCATGGAGTATTATCCCTTTGACTAAAAAAGGTTTTGTTTTGACTATTAAAACCATCCTATGCGTACGTATTACAAAAACAGTAATGGGCTGTGTGTTACCAACACCTGTTTAATCTTTCATTTCATTCATTGGACGAACGTTTTTTGAGTGCCTGTTGTAGCCCTTGGGTTGCCCAGGTCTTTTCCACCAATCAGCATTGAGCTCTCTCTGTCTGGTTCTTCTTAGGGGAGGCCTTGGGGGCCATTGGTGACCCAGAAGTTCTGGAGATCCTGAAGCAGTACTCCACTGACCCCGTCATCGAGGTAACTTGGCTTGGCCCTCCCCCTCCCTGCCTTTGCCTGGATCAGCCCAGACCAGGGGTCTGTTTGCCATGGTGACTGCTTGGCCAGGGATTCTGGAGAGAGGTGGCAGTCAGGATGGGTTTGGGCTGCTGCCCAATTGGGCAAAACTAAATGCTTCATTTCCATCGAAGCCCACCCTGCTCAGCCAGCCTGTCCTGGGCCCTGAGCCCCTGAGGAGCTGTCTTCATCTCCCCGGTGCCTCCACCATCTGTCCCTCTCATGGTCTGTCGCCTCCATTAGGATAAAGGCCCAAGTCCTCACTGGTGCCCACAGGCCCTAAATAGTCTGTTCTGACCACCTGTAGTCAGGTCCCCTCTGTGGCCAGCTCCCCTTCAGCTCTCCCCCGGCGGGTCCGACAGGCCCCGCCTCAGGGCCATTGCATTGACCGCTTCCACCTGACTCCATCTCTGACTTGGTTCTGATGTCACCTCCACACTGAACTGCTCCCTGGGCTTCTGTCTCTTTTATCCCTTCCTAATTACCCCTGGAGGATGGAGAAGGGGGCCCAGCAAACCCACCACCATGTCCCCAGGGCCACCTGCCACCCCTTTCTCTTCAGGTGGCTGAGACGTGCCAGCTGGCGGTCTGCCGGCTGGAGTGGCTGCAGCAGCATGGCGGGGAGCCAGCGGCAGCAGGGCCCTACCTCTCCGTGGACCCTGCCCCACCGGCCAAGGAATGTGACGTGGGTCGGCTGCGGGAAACACTGCTGGACGAGGCCCAGCCGCTCTTTGACCGGTACCGAGCCATGTTTGCCCTGCGAGATGCTGGTGGCGAGGAGGCCGCCCTGGCGCTGGCTGAGGGTAAGGAGGGGCCCATGGGTGAGGCCTAGTGGCTGCATCTGTGACATAGAGCAACTTGTCCGAGGGGACTTGCGCCTTGGGTCTGGCTCTCAGCACTCCCCCGTGGGTTTTACACAAATTAACTCATACTCAGAGGCAGGCGAGCACTCTCATTACCCCCATTATCCATGGAGTTTATCTCTGTTCCTTGGGTGCCCGGCCCAATGTCCCTGCATGTCCTCACCTGCCTCGATGGCATTGCCCAGCCAGTGATTCCTCTGTCCCCCCTGCTCCCTCCCACAGGCCTGAGCTGTGGGAGTGCCCTCTTTCGTCACGAGATTGGCTACGTTCTGGGCCAGCTGCAGCACGAGGCGGCCGTGCCCCGGCTGGCGGCAGCCCTGGCTCAGCGGACTGAGAGCCCCATGGTGCGACATGAGTGTGCTGAGGCCTTGGGAGCCATTGCCCGGCCCACCTGCCTGGATGCCCTGCGGGCCCACGTGGCCGACCCTGAGCGCGTGGTGCGGGAGAGCTGCGAGGTGGCCCTGGACATGTACGAGTACGAGATGGGGCCGGCCTTCCAGTATGCTGACGGACTGGAGCAGCTGCGCTCGCACGCCTCCTAGAGCTCCTGCCTGGCTGGCCGGGGCCTCTCCCCTGCGGGACTCGGTATATAAACTGAATTTGTATGAATTGGATCTTGCTTCCTTGGCTCCCTGAGCCCGTTTCCTTGGCCGGATCCCAGCCACTTTCGCATCTTGAGTAACCACCCCTTCCAGCTAGGCTGCCTCCTACCGCTTGGCCTAGCACTGTGCCCCCAGCAGGATGTCAGCGTGGGAGGGAGGACCTGGGGGCAGGGCAGGGGTGGGGCTGTGTTCTGGGGAGGTTGGGTGGCCCGGCTCCTCCAGGAGTGGGGGGTGCAGGGAAAGGCACTGTGGGGAAACCTGTGTCCAGGGGGCCTGGGCAGGGTCTGGGTCTCTAACTTGCCACCCTGGCCCTGGGTGGGCTGGGCCAGGGGACTGGCACAAACAGGCCCAAGGTCACTGCTCTAGTGCAATATTAAATTATTTTTTGCCTTGTCTGGGTTGGCTCAGTTGGTTTGAGCATCGTCCAGTGCACCAAAAGGTTGCGGGTTCACATTCCCTGTCAGGGCACATATGTGGGTTTCGGGTTTGCCCCCTGGTTGGGCGTGTACAGGAGGCAACCAATAGGTCCATGTTTCTCTCCCTCCCCCTCCCTTTCTCTCTCAAATAAACATAATCTCTGGTGAGGATTAAACAAATTTTGCCAAGTGATGACTGTTGGGGGGGCTGTAGGGGTTAAGGTGGCTACTCTCAAGGAGCATCTCGGGGTGTGCAGGTGGGGTGCAGGGCATTTGGAAAGCTGGGCTCTGCGACCTGCCCCATGCCAGACGGCAGGCGGCTAGTGCAGGCCTGTGTCCCCGAGTCCCCAGCAGAATGTCTGCCCCGTCTGCCCCCTTCAAGAGCGCCAGGGGAAACTGCTCTCCAGCTTACCCTGCCCAGACCCTCGTTCCCCGCTCCCTGTCCATCCTGCCCTTCCAGGTGCAACCTAGAACAGCCTGCTCACTGCGCTCTGAGATGAGCCTAACAACAACCTAGCACCACCTTTTACTGCTTGCTCTCTGTGGGCCAGCATCCCTGCCGTGGGTGAGGGAGACTCCCTGAGGGCACCGGCCCCAGGAGGTGTGGTCCTCGGGCAGGACTGTGACCGTTTTTTCTCAGGGATCTTTGCCTGCCACTCGTCCGATGTTGAATGCATGGGTGTTCCACAGCAGGCAGTTTTCCATTCCTCTGGACGCCAGCCGGGTGTCCTGCAGTTCGGTCCTGACGAGACTCAGAGTTAGCACAGATCCCGCAGGTTCCAGGGCGTGGCACTGCCCCCACTCTAAACAGGTTCCACTTCCAGGCCTCCTGTGCTGTAGACCCACCAGGGTTCCCACTAGCCCCTCACATTGGAGGATTCGCTAGAACAGCTCACAGAACTCAGGAAAGGATTTGACTTGCCCATTCATTGCAAAGGTCACAGAGGAAGAAGAGACACACAGGGCTAGGTCCAGAAGGGTCCTGAGCACAGGAGCTGCTGTCCCCGTGGAACCGAGGTGTGCCACCCTCCTGGCACATAGAAGCTCCCTGAGCCCCTTCGTTTCAGGTTTTTAATGGAGGGTCTGTGCCTTAGGCACCTTGATGAAATCATTGCCGGCGGCTGCAGGCAGGGCCGAGGGCGGGGCTAAAAGTTTCCTCTCACCTGTGGTTGGTTCTCAGGTCCCAGCTCCACCCTTGCTAGCCTGGCTCAGGTACAGTGGGAGGGGTCGATTAAGAAGCACAAAGGGTCCCTCTCACCCTTGTCCCTCCGGGAACAACTAGGTTTTAGGCACTCAGTGCTGAACCCAGGCGTGGGCGAAGACCAAGCAGAAGTTTCTTATCCCAGCGTCATGGGCACCCTCTCTTCCTGGGACCTCCTCGGGGGTCCTGTATTTGCCCAGCTTCCCTCCTCAACTCCGGACCCCTCAGTGCCCCCGACCTCTGATTTTTCATGGCCCAGGGCTGGGTGGCTGGGTCCTGGGAACTTTTCCCATCCCGGCAGCATGCTCTGGGCCCGCATCCCTCAGGGCGGCCCGGTCCACTGTCTGTAGGGGATCTAACCTCACCTGTGCTGAGTCCTGTTTCCAGCCTGGGCTCCCCTGAGCTCCACACTTGAGGTCCAGCTGCCCTTCCACATCTCTGCTTCGATACTGATGAGGCACCGCAAACCCAGCATGTCCTTACATTTCCTCATAGTACCTCTGAAGTTGTTCCTCCCACAGGAAATAGAAAACTCCATCATTCTGGGTGCTCAGCCTAAAAACATTCAGGCGTGACCAGTTTAAAACCTATCCCAAATCCACCCACTTCCTCCTCTCCTCTACCACCACCCAGGTCCAGCCCCATCATGAGCCACCTGGACCAACTCAGTTCCCTCAGCCCTGGTCCCCACAGGCTGTCCTCTCCACAGCAGCCGCCAGAGGGTGCCATTGAGCACCTGACTCAGGTCCCTTCTCTGCCCACAGTCCTCCAGGGTTCCCACCTTCCTCCAGGGAACAGCCCAAGTCCCCTGGAGGTCCACAAGGCCCTGCACAACCTGCCCCGGCTCTCCCTGCCCTCATCTCCTCCCTCTACCCCTCGCTCACTCTGCTCCAATCACAAGGGCCTCCTCCCTGTTCCTCCAACATGCCAGGCACAGTCCAGCCTTGGGAGTTTCACATAGGCTGTTCTATGCCTGAAACACTCTTCCCCCGGGTACTCCCATGGCTGGTTCCATTGCTCCTCTGGGTCTCTGTGCAAACGTCGTCTCAGTGTGGCCTTGGCTACCCTGTTTAAACTTTAACTCCCCTCCTAGCAGCACCTGCCCCTCGGATCATTGTCTCTGCCCCTCCCCCATACCATCATTTACTCTAAGGTTATGTTTTTCTCAGCCCATTTTCCCACTTGGAATGTTTACTTCACGAGGGCAGGGATGTTCTCAGGACAGGGAACAGCCGATGCAAAGGCCCTGAGGTGGAGATGTGCAGGGTAGCAGCAGGTGCGGCTGGAGCCCAGTGAGGGAGGGGGCAGCAGGCGGAAGTGATTTGCGCTGTGATTCATCCAGGCAGATGGTGGCTGTAGGGAAGCCCCAATCTTCTTACCCAAAGCCCCTTAATACTTCCGCTGCACGGGTCACCTCTGGGCATCTCCTGCTCCAGGTGGCTGCCATGCCGGCGCTGGTGGATGAGGAAGGGGCCGAGAGCTGGAGCCAGGCCCCACCACTGTATGAGGAGTACCGCCCACCACCACTGGATGCCATCCGCCTGCCCAGGTATGTGCTGTACCTGCTGCTGGCTGCGCTCCTGGTGGTGGCCGTGGCCTATGCCATTGTTGGGCATCTCATCAAGGACCTCGCCCACGACCTGGCCGGTGAGCCCCAACCCACCATGAGCCTGGCTTGGGCTAGTGCTGGCCACTGGGGGAAGGGGTCCGAGGGTCCCTCCCAGCCAGGGAAGGTAGGAGGGTGGACAGGGGGCTTAGGTAGGCTAAGGGCCTCTATGGGTTCAGGGCAGGGGGTGGAAGGTGGGCAGGGTCCAGGGAGGCTTCTCACCTGCCTCCTGCCACAGACTGGGCTTTTGGCCCAAAGCCAGACCAGGAGGATGCCCCCCGGGAGCTGCACCCAAGCCTGGAGGGTGAGGATCTGGAGGAGCTAGACCTGCAGCTGGCCCTGGCCTGGCGAGGTGATGAGGACACTGGCGGGCGTGGCGAGGGGACCCCTGCAGTAGCCCCTGCCCCCCACCGCCCCTCCATCGCCTTCAAGGAACCGCTCATTCGAAGCTCCTTCTGGAGGCTGAGCTGAGCTGGATGCCAGCCCCTGTGACCTGGTACAGACTGGACTTGTGCTTGCCGGAGCCCTTCCTCCACTGGCCTGCCCTGTCTCTGCAGAGAACGTTCTTCTTGGCCGGCAGGCTCTGGTGGCTGGACGCTGACCGTTCCTGCACTCCTGCTCCCCCAAGCCCCCAGAACCTGACTCCACCCAGTCTCTGCCAAGCTTCTGGTGATCTGTAAATCAAGAAAGCCAAGGAGATTTCTAAAATAATAATAATAGTAGCCAGCCCTTCCCTAATGCTTTGTATGTGCCTGCTATTGTGTTAAGCCCTTTCCATGTATTATCTCATTTAATCCTGAGTGGGACTTCGTGTCCCCATTTAACAGATGGAGAAAGAGAGGCACACAGCTAAAAAATGACTTGGTCCCACTCTTCTGAATTCTTCTCCCACTCGCTCTGCTGGGCTCCCCTACCTCCAAATCTTTTCCACCTGCACCCCCATCCCCCACCTCATTCCCGGCTCTGCTGCTCCACCACTGGCTCTGTCTCTGGGGGTCCTAACTTCCCAATTAGCCTGAGAACTCTCGGAGGACAGTCTCTGAAGCTTCCTTCGCTTCCAAACTTTGCACAGGACAGGGCACACAGTAGGAGCTTCATATATGCCTGCTGGCTGGATGAAGTGGGCCTGTTCTAGGGCTGGGGTGTCTGAGCAATGTCACATGAGTGATTCATCTGCATGGTGGTTATATTCAGACAGCAGGAAAGGAGGAGGCTCCAGGTATACAGTAGGCACTCCATAAATGCATGTGCAATGATGCTGGCATTCTCCAGGCCCCAGGGACCCTGTGAATGTCTCACAGGGCCTTGAGAAGTGCGAGGCCCTCATCCCCTTGGCCTTCCTGCCACGTGCCTGGGCTGTGGCTGTTCTGTGGCATCTGGGGTGGGGTTCTCCTTCACCCAAGCAGGGCTCTGTATCTAATCAACCCGGGGACCAAGGTTGATGGGCAGGAGAGCCCAGAGCCTGAGTCATCAGCTGCCTGGGGTGCCCTGTTCTCTGGCCAGGTGGGAGTGGCTGGGTTTGGTGGTGGCTGGTGGGCATGTTGCGTATCCCATCCAGTCCAGGTACTCACCCCATCGGTGACTGTGGGTCCCCAGGGGTCAGGGGGCCAGGATACAGCAGCATAAGCCAGTGGTGAGGGCGACCCGAGGTCACATGCCAACTCTGGCTATTTCTGCACAAGCTCGGAGCTCCCAGCCTCCCTGAGCAGCTATGAAACGGAGGCAGTCAACTTTGTGGGGTGTCAGGGGAAGAAACAACGTGACACCTACAAATGCTGAGCCCGGGCCCAGGAGAGAAGGTCAGGGCCGTCTCCACCTGACCCCTGAGGCGGGGAGCCTGCGCAACCTCAGGGTTGGCGGTCCCTAGCAGGCATGGGGCACAGGTGCCAGTCTCCCTGGGTTAATTGTTACACCAAGTCCAGAGTCTGCCCTCCTGGGGGGGGATGCCAACCAGGTGGGGTGAAGGGAGGGGCTGCCCCTGCCCTGGACCCACCTGCGCCTTATCAGGGGCTGGGCAGGGCCTCGCCCAGTCAAAGAGGGCTGTGCTCGCCTGGACGGTGCACTCGGCTGCTGGCTCCTCCACAGCCATGGAGACCCTGGAGACCCTTCTCGTGCTCGGCGCCCTGTTCTTCTTGCCCGCTGAAGCCCAGCAGGGTAGGAATCCCACTCTGGGGGGTGGGGTGGGGGGAGGTCATGGGGATGAGCTCACCACACCCCCTGAGAAGAGGGGACAGGCAGAAGAGGAAAGGGGCCAGGCCGCTCTTGGAGGCCCTCCCGAGGAGAGTCCCTAGCCTGCTCCCCTTCTCAGACCCATATCTGACACCCTGGCCCTCTCCAAGGCCCGCGTGTCTGAGCAGCCCTGGCTTCCTTCTCCCTGTCACCTGCGGTGGGGCCTCACACTCGCCCGTCCCTGAGTCCCACCCCTCTGCCTTCCAACAGCCACAGAACGCCGCCTGAAGCCGTGGCTGACGGGCCTGGCCGCGGTCGTGGGGTTCCTGTTTGTCGTCTTCGTCTTCTTGCTGATCAACCGCATCTGGTGCTCCAAAAGGAGGTGGGGAACCCCTCCCCCACTGCCCCCAGCCACCTGTCCCTTCACCCTGGGCACCCCCTCCCACCTCCTGACCCTCTCCGGCTCCTTTCCCCATCTCCCCGTTTCCCTGCTGTTCCTTAGGCCCCCACCCACAGGCCAGGATAGCCTTGCTGCCCACCCCTCCCTGCTTCCTGGAGTTTACAATCCCTAGCCCTGGGGGGACTGGGGTGAGGCTATCTGTGCTTCCCACCCTTCACCCACCCTCACCCCTCCTGTCTCCATCTTTCCTGCAGAGATGAGGACGAGGAATCCATGTTCAGAATGGAGACCCGCGTGATCCAGGACACAGACCCGAGGTATTGCCTGCGAGTGTACATCGATGTGTGAGTGTGTGTGTGTGTGTGAGTGTGCTCCAGGGGTCTGAGTTTGAGCCCTGTCCTGGGGGAAATGGGTGTACACAAATGACCTCTTTCTGTCCCTGAACATCTCAAGCATGTTCCTACCCCAGGGCCTTTGCACTTATTGTGGGCTCTGACTGGAACCCCTTTCCCCATATCCTCCAGCTGGCTCCTTCTCCTTCAGTCCCTGCTCAGATGTTCTCCTCACAGAAGTCTCTCCTGACCCCTAGCCTCTCGTGCCACAGCCATTAGGTCAGGACTAGGGGGTAAAGGCTTGGGGACAGGAATGTAGGAGCTGGGAGGAGGCCAGCCTGGCCGGAAGATTCTCAACTGAGCCCAAGATGTGCCATCCACCCACCCTTCTACCCACCCACCCATCCATCCGCCTGTTCCTCCGAGGGACAACTGAGTTTTCGTTTCTGCCGCTGTGAAGCAGAAACAACACTGTTGCCTCATTAGGGTTGTTTTGAGGATTCGGTGAAGGTGCTTTGTGTAAAACATTCATCATGAGGCCTGGCCCAGGTAAGTGTCCCTTAAGTGGGAGCAACCATGTTTCTTATTGTGGCCCGGGGCCTTTGTGTTTCTATAGAAGAGAAGGCAAGAGGGAGAAGACAGAGGAGAAGGAGAAAGAGAAGAAAAAAGCTACAAAAGAAGGAGAGAGCAACTTGGGCCTGAAACTGGAGGAGGAAGGGGAGCTTGGAGACCAGGAGAAAGACAAGAACACGGCCATGTGAAGGTGCCACCTCCTCCAGGCAGACCCCCCGAGATGCCCCTTCCACACTCTATAACCAATGACCCGGGCCTGAAACCACCAAAATAACTCCATCTGGGTTGTAAATATAGTGCCCGAACGAAGAGGCTTGGGACATGCCTCGCCCGTCCAGGAAGGCTCCTTGCATCTTACATGGCTCTATGTGCCCCTTCCCGACTGGCCCTGCCTGGTGATTCTTCTTGCACTTGGTTATGAAGAAACCCCCAAGCCCCCACAATCTCATGGCTCCCCCTGCTTCTACCCACCATCTGGTTTCTTTTCCCTCTGCCTGATACCTCTTGGTCAGAATCTCTCTCTCAGAACCATTATGGACCAGGGGCTGTCTCTCGGGGTCCTGCATTAAAAAATTGATCAGAGCCCTTCGGAAGGGCTCCTGTCATGTCTTGGCGCTGTTTCCTCTGGGAGAGGCAGTGTTTGGTCTGGGGGGCGATGCCCGGGCTGGCAGGGAAGGTCAGGCTGCACAGATGCCCTGGGCAGTTGGTGCTTCCCCCGCAGTCCGGATCCGGCTGCCCTGAGGCCTGGACTTTGAGCCCGGGGTGGGGGGGGGGTCTCCTGGGCAGCGCTTGTTTCCTCCGCCCCTGTGTTTCGGGTCCCAGAACTTTGTGACTCAGTGTCTGAGAACTGGGTCTTGGAGGGGGCCCAGGACCCTGCCTTTTCTAGGGATGGAACAAGCGTTTTCTCCTCCTAGTTTCCAGTCTTCCCTTCTCACTGTCTATGGGCCCTGGACCTCGCCCTGGATGCTGACTATTCCTTCACAGTTAGATATTCTTAATGAGGACTTCGACACAGAATGGCATTTGGATCTCTGTTTTGGGGCCTGTACCCCGGGGGTGGAAGGATCCCACCCAAAAGGTTTCTAAGAACACGTCCAGGACCGCACACCAGGTGGGCAGGAAAACTGTCAATGAAGGAACAAAATAAACGCTCTAATGGGTGCGCCTACTGAACACCTGGCATCTTGATCCTCTCTGTCTCCATTGTACCTAATTAGCCCATTTTCCAGTTGAAAATACTGAGGCTTGGAAATCTGGGAGGCCCTGGGGCAGGTGTCCCTGGCTGTTGTTGACAGCAGCAGCTCAGGCTGCCCCAAATGCTGGAGCGTTTGCAGGCTGTGGCTAAGGTCAGATTTGGGGGTTCAGATCCTAGGATGGTGGTGGTGGGGTTTGGGGTAGGCGGTCTTTCTTCGCCCTGTTTCCTACCTGGGAGAAGAACTTTCTCTGCAGTGTTGTGTGGCTCAGGGCAGGTGGCCTGACCTCTCTGAGTCAAATCGACTCCTGCAATGTGAAGGCAGGAGTTCTGACCCTCAGAGTCTGAGGCTTGAAGGAGGCACCTGGGCTTAAGGGCCATGCAAGGCCTGGCACGTAATAGGTTCTCAGGAAATGAGTTCCCCACCTTTCCTGAGCCTCCCCCTCCCACGGCCCTGGCTGTGGGGAATGAGGGGTCAGGGTGAACTTAAGGGAGATAGGGTGCCAGGATGCTTGGGACCCTGGTCCGCTCCCCAGGGAGCCCAGAACCCAGGGAAGGGGGCACCACCTCCCACTTCCTGTGGTACTGGCCACACCCTGCCCTGGGGTGTCCTGGGCAGCCCACTTCCTCCTCTAGCCAGGGCTGCGCCCCAGAACCTGCTGGACAGGGGCAAGAACGGACCAGATGGACAGATTCTGGATGTCCCCCAGCAAACTCTTCAGGCGCAATCCTGCGAGGCCTCGGGGAGCAGGAAGGAAAAGAAAGAAGGGTGGGCCCCTAACCTGGTGGTCAGGCCACTGACCCTGCGCTGCTGACCCTGCCCAGAGGAAACCGTAGCTGGTGGGGCTGGAAGCCACGCTGGCCTTTCCTTCCTCATCTTCATCCTCACTGCAGTCTGTGCCATTTGGTGCAGCGAGTCTCATGACAGGTGGGCCCCATCCTCTCCTGGGTCCGCCCTCCCTAACTCTCTCCCCTCTGAGCCCCACCCCTCTTGAAGCCCCTCTCCTTTCAGTGTCCTCTAAGGGGGCAGGAAGCGGTTCCAGGGGGAATTCTTTGATTCAGAATCCATGGGGGCCTCATGTAACCTCACTGACTTCCCTCCTATCTACCTGCCAAATGAGGGGCTTCCTCACGGAGAACCCACCCCTCTATGCACTTCCAATGGGATCTGCCGTCTTTCACCACCTTCCCTCTTACCCCACTCATTCATGCACCCACCTGTTCATTCACATCCACTCATCACCTATCCATTTATCCACCCACTCCTCCAGCCCTTTCTCCTTCCAGCCATCCATTATCCCTCCCTCCTTCCCTGCATCACCCATTCCTCTCTGTCCACCCCTCTGTGCACCCATCCACCCATCCGCCCACTCACCACTTGCCCATCCATTTACCTTCCCACTGCCTAGTCACATGTCCATCTGCTCATCCATCCATTCATCCACTCATTTGCCACACACCCATCATTGGTCTGTCCCCCCTGTCTTTGCCCATCCACTCGCCCACTGTTTTGAGATCTAGGAAGCCAGAGGGACCAGATTTGGGATCATGTAGCATGAGCTTGGGCTCTAGCACTTCCTTCCTCTCCAAACTGGGCGAATGTCCTCACCTGCCTGGGCCTCAGTGTCCCCTTCTGGACAATGAAAACAAACAGAGTGCAAGGCTCGGTCTTTGAGAGAATTGTAAGAGGCCAGTAAAGACTGTAAGTCCGTATTAAATTGGGTTACCTGGGCCCTTCTTGTCTCTACAACAATGAAGAAAAGGAAGAGGAGACTGTGAGGACAGAAGAGAAGGAAGGAGAGGGAGAGTGGCAGTTGGAGCTGGAGGAGGAAGAGGAGCCTCCAGACCATGGAATAATGGTGAACTCCTCCTCATGAAGGCTTCTTGCTCACCCCCTCCAGGCAGCACCCAGGATTGCTCAGATGCCTGCTCTGCACCCTCTAAGCAAAGACCTGGTTCTGTGGCCAGGGAAATGACTCCATCAGGGTGCAGTGTCCCTTAATGGAGAGTCCCCAGGATGCCCCCAAAATCCTCCCGGAGGGTTCTTTGCGGTTCCCTGGGCATTACACACACCCTCCCCAACCTTGGTCTCCACCTGATAATTCTTAAGCTCGGAGGGCACCCCTGGACAAGGAGCTTGCCACATCCCCACGACCCCCACCATCTCCTACCTCTGCTCCATCTGCAATGCAGGAATCTTTTTTACCCACTGCCTGATCTTCTCTCACCTCTGATTTCCGCTGCCCTTTGGATTTTATCAGCGGAGCCAGCTCTTCCTCCTGCCCTCCTACCTCCAAGATCTCAAGGCCCTGCTCCCAAGAGTTCATAGAAACCACCTGGCTCCCAGTCCCTCCCCTAGCCTTGGTTGTCATCTCTGCCACATGGGAGTCGCCTAAGCCCGCTTCTCACTGGTGAAAGGGAAGGTGAGAAGGAGCTGTGCAGATGGTACTGTCTTTGCACGACCCACGGCAGAGCCAGCCCCCATCCTGTAATCTTGCTTTTGCTGCTCCTGAACGTGAACTTTGAGCAGGCTCAGCACAGGGACTGTTTCCTGGGAGACGAGGCCCCTCCCACCACATGCCCTGTCCTGGAAGCTGTGATGCCCAGGGCTGTGCATTACCATCACCCCACTCTTCCTGTCCAGCGCTCCTGGCTCCATGGAGAGAGATGGAGCCCCAACTTTCTCGTCGTGTAACCCCTGGCTGGTAACTTCACGTCTCTGTGCTGAAATGCCCTGCTCTGTAAAAGGGCAGGAAAATAACTGGACCCTTCCTCAGCCTTCATGAAGATTCAGTGAAACAATGCCAAAACTCCTGAGCACTGAACCCAGAACCCAAAAGGCATCTCACAAATGTCAGCTTCTCCTTGCGCTGACATGGTGATGATGGGGCGGGGCAAGTGAGACTTCCCACTCTGACTGGGGGTGGTTCTGAAGGCCAGGGGTGTGTCTCCTGACTGCAGTCTGGACGTGAAGAAGTTTTCTGCTTCATTCTCCTTTGTGCAGTCTGGGGGTTCACAGTGGGTGGGGTGCTGGGGAGGGAGGGAAGGGAGACAGGAGGGGCTGTCAGCAGGTTGCAGAACTTCCCCACTAGGGGGCATCTACCAAGTGGCGGGTTCATTTTTCCGGGTTTTCACAAGCCTGCCTCCCTTTGACGGCATTTAGTGGGGACCCAGGGGGACCCAGGGGTGGTCCGCAGTGCTGGGACAGTCCCCCAAAGCCAGTAACTGCTTCATCCTAGGGGCCAATGGCTGAAGAACAAGGGCTTCTCTTGAGATTAAAGACCAGACTGAGTCCCCCAGGCCTCCTGGGCCTTTCAACCCAACTGAGCCCCATCCGTTGAGCCCCGCACCCAAACTGACTCCCTATCCTCTGCGGAGCCCCTGACCCCATATGAGTCCCTCACAGAAGAATCTCTTGCTAGTGCCCCATTTCCTGCTGCAGGGAGGGGTCGGAGAGTGGGGATAGGGACCGAAGTGGGTGAGGGCCTCCTGTTGACCCCTCCGCCCAGGCCCTGGTTTCTGGGCCCAGGTACTCAGCCTGCCCACAAGGGGGCGCCAGAACCTCACTGCTGAAGGCAGGAGAAGCCTCACTTCCTAGGACTGGAGAGGGTTGGAGCTGTCAGAAGCACAGCTGGGAAGGGCTAGAACCCAGAGCTCGCCCAAACCCACCATCTAAAGCAGGTCTCTCCCCCTCAGTACTGCAGACATTTGGGGTTGGATCCTCCTCTGTGGGGGGCCGTCCTGGGCACGGTGGGGTGTTGAGCAGAAGCCTGGCCTCCACCCATTCAATGGCAATAGCCTCCCTCAGTCATGACCACAGATGTCCTCACACATTGCAAAAAGTCCCCTGGGGACATTTGATGTAAGGTTCTCAGGACACCTGCCGGCTCACCCCAAGTGCTGGGGTCCTTGTGTCCACTGGCCGCCTTCCCCTCCAGCCTCTTCCCTTCACTTTGATACAACACAGAAGAGTCTGCACTGAACAGAGAAAGGACCCAAGACAGTCAGAAAGAGTCGAAGCGTAGCTTGTTTAATTTTTATACATTTTTCTTTTTTATTTTTTGCCTTTTATTGAATCTTTTATGGAATCCCCCTTTTTCTTTTTTTTTTTTTTTTGTTGCATAGGGAAACAAACAAACAAAATAATAATAGCCAGAGTCACTTTCTGTAAATGGTACTTAGGCGCGTCTGCAAAAAACCGAAATGACTGAGTAATATACAATGTTATGATTGGAGTATGATGTGAGGGAGCAGGGCAGGTGAGCCAGGAGAGGGGGCAGGCTGGGCCCAGGTCTGCCCAGGTGTTCCCATGTCCCCCGTCCGGTCCCCACACTGGGGAGGAGGAGGAGCAGACCCAGCCAGAGTCTCTCCCGACCTGGGTTCATGAGCACAGGTGTGTGGGTGTGTTACCCGGTGTGGGCGGCAAGCAGAAAGCGAGAAACAGAGTAAACTATCCTGGTAATATCAGTAAAATATAAAATGAGAAAAAAAAACCCTCAAAAATATCTTGGAGGAAAAAGAAAATGAACAGCAACACCACCAAAAATTTTAGGGAAGGAAGGAAGAGAGGGAGGGAGGGAGAGAGGGATGAAGGGAGAAAGGAAGGAAAATCAGAGGAAAGTGGGTCTCTCTCCCTCCTCCCCGTCGGCCCCTGCCACGCTGTGTGCTCTGTCCCTTGACCTACACTCTGCCTGTCCTTTCCCCATGTGGGGTCCGGGGGTGGGAGGGCAAGAAGTGGGAGGCAGGGGCCAGGACCCCTGGACTTGAAGGGGCTTTGGTTTTGGGGGGCCTGGCTGGGACCCTAGATGGGAGGATCAACAGATAGAAGTGTTGATACAGCTTGGGAATGGGCTTTGGGGTTCCCAACTGGAGGGCTGCTGGGGAAGCTCCCGTCCCCTTTCCAGTGGGCCCCCTTCTAGCCAGGAGGGGTGAGTGGAGGGCTGTGGGGAGGGGCAGTAGCTTGGGGGGGGTGACTTCTTCCCCTCCTGAAGCCCTTCTTCCTGTTGGATCCCGCCTCCTCTTTCCTGAGGCCTGGGTCCCGCCACCGCCCCTGGGGAGCTGTGGAGAACCCCAAAGCCACACCAGCAGACATGTGAGGCACTGCTTGGGAAAAGTCTGTTTTGGTATCGCTGGCAACAAGTCCTGCTGGTATCGCTTTGGGTCTGTCCCCTTGCCTTGCTGGGGGCAAGGGTCGGGGAGTCGGCCTCTGGGCTCAGCTCGGGCCCCCCACACTGTGAAACACTCAGGAATGGGTGGCCGGTGGGGGAGGCTGTCAGCCTGGAGGTGGGACTCTTAGAAAGGGCCCAGCGGCGCAGAAATGGAGACGATGGGAGGATGAGAAAGAAGCTGGATCTGAGGGTGGATCTCTGGAACCCCTTTCTCAGCACCCTCCAGGAAGAAAGTAAAAATCAGAATCTCAGAGACAGTTTCCAGGCCAAAACAAAAAGTAGCCACTGTATAGTCCGTATAATAAAAAATTCATATATATATATATCCCTCCGCTGAAGGTCAGAGTACCATCGGAGAGGCTGGAATGGGGAGGGGAGGGTCCCGTGTGCTGCCTTCTCTAAAGCAGGCAGGACAACAGCTCGCGGCCCCGGGTCCTGCTCAGATGGCTGCTGTCCAGTCAGGCCTGCCTGCCCCTGGAACACTGCTATCTCTGGGGACAGACAGAAGGCTCTGGAGCAGGAGGGGGATCTGTGGGCCTGAGCCTGGAATTGTCTGCTGCTTGGGGAGCTACAGCATCCCCAGTCTCCTTTGGGGCTCCTTTTGAGTCTGATTGTCTAGCTCAGGGTGGGACTCAGAACTCAGCCAGAACCTGGGTTCCAGCGCACAGGCCTGGAGCCCCGTCCCCAGACAGGTCAGGTCTCCTCACACCTCCCTCGCCACGCTGGCGAGTGTCCGGGGCCCTCGACCCAGAGAGGGATGGGGGCAGTCTGCATATATTTGGGAGGCCCCCTTGTTCGTTTCTACAGCATGAGCTGGACCCCAGGGGCAGGCTGAGGGTCAGCATGGGTGAGGATGGATGATGGGTGGTGAGCGACATGGGCTTGGGAGGGGACTGAGAAGATGTCAGTTTCGTACATATAAGAAAAAAAACCCTACAAAAACCAACCCAACCAAGGCCCCTATCCCCACTCTTGGCATAAACCCTAACTGCAGAGTGGGGTCAGGGGCCTGGTTCTTGGTGTTTCTGCCTCACTCTGCCTTCCGGGAGGCCCTGGGAGCGCTGCCCAGCACGGGCCCTAGAGCTTTTCCCAGAATCGGGAAGAGCAGCCCCAGGATGGCGTGCTGGCTGGGGAGGAACCGCCTGCAGTGCTCAGCAGTGGTGCTGAGAGGGCCAGATCGCATGACTGGGGGCGAGGAAGGGTGGGCTGGGTGGGGGCAGGGCAGAGAGCACGAAAAGCAGAAATCAGCCACATGAAAACGGACACACGTGGCCTTGGGCTCTCCGGCCAAGTGGCAGGTCCGAAGGACACTGTCATGGCAGCCGAGGCCGAGCTCTGGGCCCCTCTGTCCCCTGGGGCTTGCTGAGGCGCCTTTTGGGGAGGAAACATGGGATGAGGTTTGATGGCGGATGGAAGCTGGGACCTTTCTACGAAGCCCCACCCTGCTCTGGAGACAACTTTCAAGTCCAAGGGGGCGGCAGCAAACCCTGTCCAACTGGTGTCCCCCAGGTTGGGGCCTGAGGGTGGAGAGCCCAGCCCTCTGGTCCCTCCGCGGGGCCACCCCACTAACCACCTGCTACTGTCTCACCTGTGGGGGAGTTCAAGGTAGAGGAAGTTGGAACTTAATGAAAGGAAAATATGAGAAAATAAAAAACAAGAAAAAGACAACAGCACGGCCAGCCACCCAGGCAGAGACCTGTGATGGGGGTCCCTGACCGGCCCTGACCCCTCTGGCCTCCCCAACTGGGCCTCTGATGGCCGGGCTAGGCCTACAGGTACAGACAGACAGGTATTGCATATATCGAGTTTGGTTTTTGTTTTTTTGTTTCATACCAGATACCCTCCACAGTCACGGCTGGAAGACACAGAAGTGGGTGCTGGGGGGCAAGGGGAGGGCAGAAGGGAACGGACACCTGATGCTGGTCTCCAGGGGTGGGGCACGAGTGGGTCCTTTGGCAACAAGGAGGGGGGTGCACTGGGGAAGAGGGAGCCTCTTTGGGGTGGGAGAGCAATCTGACCCTGAGCCAGAGGGATGCCAGCCTGTGCGGAAGGCGGGATGGGGGGTCTGGCTGTCGGCAGGGCGGCTGCCCCGAGGGCGCTGCCCAGGGTCGCACATGCACGCATGGCATCTGGGGGACTGGCTGGCGGCCCAAGGGCATACTCCTGAGGTCTGCCTGCTGCTGTGGGTGGGGGCTTCAGAAATGACCCCTTGGAGCCCAGGGGCCGGGCTGGGGGTGGCGGAGCACCAGGGAACACCCCCAGTGCAGCAGGGGCCGCGGAGACAGAGCCCGGGGCTGGTAGGGCATGGGTGGTGGGACCGGTCACGGGGCAATTGCTCTTTTAGCGTGTATTTTTTTTAAGTTCTTCTTGCTTATTATTATTATTATTATTATTTTACAAATAGAAATACATCCCTTTTCCATTTTTACTTTTTATTTCATGTCATTGTTTTGTCTTTTTCTTTTTAACTACACGAGCAGGGCATGCAGCTACCTTCGCGCTGATATTGTTTAAAGGTAATACTTATTTTCGGAAGGCAAGGCACATCATGTGGTAAAAAATTTCGTGCAAATTAGGAAACATGGACTTTTTCAAGGTATTTTTTTGAATCTTTTTTTAAGGAGGAGGGGGCAGTAGTGGGGGCTAGGAGGCTGGGGATGGGAGACAGAGCCGGGTACAGTTTGCCATGCAGTGTCAGCTCCAGCGAGCTGCCGGCAGGAGCCAGGTCACAGGAGTCCTCGACTAAGCACCATGCAAAGTTAGATCGCTGGGGGCTGCCGGGCGCCCCCTCCCCTACCACGCCTACCTGCACCCTAAGGTTCCCGGCCGAGAAGCTTCCGGATACCCTAGCTGCCCTCCCGAAGAGCGGCCCATGCTTTGGCCCCCAATGGCCACCCTGAGGGGCCCTGGGGGTTCATGGACAGACCAAGGGTTCTCGAACCCCTCTGGACAATGGGAGGGGGGTGTTGATGGGGAAGGGCCTTGGGTCTTTCTCTGTATGATCAAGTGGGTTTGCCAAGCCCCTTGGGCTGGTTTGGGAGGAAAGTCTGGTTTCTGGAGGTGTTGGGGTGGGGGGAGGGGGGCCAGGCCCAGGGGTACCAAGAGAAGGAGCAGAGGGCCAGGCTGGGAGCAGATGAGGCGGAGGCCCTGCTTGGGGAAATAGCTTTGGCCTAGGCCCGGGGTAGGGGTCATGGTGGGGTACATATTCCTCAGCGCCAGGCATGGAGGCTGGAGGTGGCCAGCGGGGGCTCAGATGGATGGGCTGGGAGGGGTCTCTGTGTTTGGGTCCTATGACCCTAGAACACCTAACACTCCCTCCCAGGCCCCCCACCCAAGATGGCCATCCTGGGGTGGGGCGGGAATGGGGCTGGGGACCCGGGGTAGGGGGGTACCCGGTGTCCCCAGCTTAGTGTTTTTGGAGCGGCTCAACGGAAAACGCTTAGCAGATGGGAGGCCCCCTGTGCAGCACAGGGGCCCAGAGGTGCTGGCACCCCCTCCGCCAGAACTCCCCACCCCGTCCAGGATCACACAAATTGCAGTCCTTCTAGGGGCCCAGCTGCAATGCACCTCCCTGGCTGTGCCCATTTTGGGGGGAAATAAAAGTGCAAACTGTAGTCCCCCTTTGGGCTGAGAGGCACCAGGGAGGGGGTGTCGCTCCAGGATGTAAGGCACTGGCAGAGAAGGCGTGGGGGGGAGGGGACACCGGTTTCCCCAGACCTCGCCCCTGCCCCCCGCGCCCCAGCATGGCAGGATGCTCGGGGGACACCCAGCTCTGCCCCTCAGGCCCACTGGGGGTCCCCATCTCTCTGAGGGGAGCATAGCAATGAGGGGTCGGGGACTGGAGGTGGCAGGGTTGTGGGGGAGGGGTGGGGATGCCCACGGCCACTCTCACGTCTCAGCTGGACAAAGAGGGGCGGGCGGTGGGAATCAGGCACTTAATCCACTCACTGTCACCTCCCACCTCCTCTGGGTAAGTGGGGGGTCCTCCCCTCCCAGGGCTCAGTGGATGGAGACTCCAGATGACCCCCTTTCTTGAAGACCTCTGGGTCTTTCCATTCTGCCCCCACAGCCCCTTCCTTGGAAAGTGCATTTCTTACAGTGTGTGCAACGTGGACCCCGACCCTGGGGGTGTGGAGCCGCAGGCAGGTGCAGTGGGGGGTGGCCTTCTATGCCGCTGGGTGTGGGGCTGGGGGGGCAATTGCATAGAGACTTCTCCTCCCAAACAGACAGGCGTGGGGATGAAAGGCCAAGTCCCAAGCCAGCCCAGCACATGCACGCAGGCGGACATCCCATGGCTGACCGCAGGGCACTCCTGAGAAAGAATCTGCCACGCGTCCTTGTCCCCTGGTGATGACCAGGGGCTCCCATAACCCTCTTCTGCCCTTGTCACTTCCCTGCCCACACCGGCCTCCTCAGTGCCTGCCTTTCTGCTTGGAAATACCAACACCAGTGTGGGAAGCCTGGCCGACATCCTGGCGGAGGTGACGATGGGGGTGCGGGGGAGAGGTGGCCTTTCTGGGTGTCCTGCCCCATGGGGCCTGGGCACTGTCGTGGGCACCAGGCTGTGCTCACCTGGTCCTGGTGGAGGTGGAGGCAGGCACCTGCCCTTCCCGAGCAGCAGCGAGAGATGAGTAACTAAGGGAGACCCCCGTGGCACTGTTAGATCCTCAGCCCTCCACCGAGGGGCGGCAGGCCCGGCTGAGGGGCGGGCGGCAGGTCTAGCTGTGGCGTCCCGAGAGTCCGAAGCGTTGCAGTCTTCTTCACCTTTGTCTTCTTGCTTGGGTGGGTTTATTTTTATGATTTTTTTCCCATTTGTCTTTTTTTTTGGCCTTTTTTTCTCTTTTTTTTTTCCTCCTGTGTGTATGTGTTTGTGTGTTTTGTCTTTTCAGCTGGGCTGGGAGTCGGCGGGATGTTCTTGCTTGCTCTAACTTTCCACCGAAAACGTGGGCTGGGGGCCGGCTGCGCAGCACCCCCGGGATGAAGGAGCAGGGCGTGGGAAGAAATCCTTCTTATCCCAGATACCAGGACTGGCCGGCCCCAGGGGGACGCACAGACAGAGAGGGAGAGAAAGAAACGGAGGTCAGGCTCTGCCGCTGCCCCACCCGCCTCTGCCCCCAACCCAGACCTGTTGTCACCTGCTGGGTGACCCCCGGACAAGTAACTTCACCCCTCCGCAGGGCTGCTAGATAAAACACAGCATGCCTGGTGCAATCTGAATTCCCTACAAACCTTTTAGTGCATTGACTGAGCAACTTCTGGAATAGACTCACTTTTAATCCTTTGTTTATCTGGCATCCAAATCTACCTGAGCAATCTGTAGTAGCTGTTTTTTTCCCACTGAATCGAGTGACAAGCGCCCTGGACCTCAGCGCCCCGCGTGAGAAATGGGGACGTGCCGTTTCACTGAGTCAATCTGATGCAACACCGCTGTCTCCGGGCACTGTGACCAGGGGTGCTTCCATTTTTTCAAAAAACGTTCTTCCATTTAATGATTCCCCCCAACCCCTTGAAGGAGGGACACCCCATTTCTCAGTGGAGGAAACTGGGGGTCACAGAAGTCAAGTAATTTGTCCAAGACCACCGCGTGGGAAATAGAAAGCCGGAACGTACGCTCAGGCCCGGAGGCTCCGTTCCTCTGTTCTCCCTCTGCCTGGGGCTGGCCCCTTCACCTGGCCCTCCAGCCAGTCCAGAGCCCCACCGTGCAAACTGGGAGACAGAGGCTCCTGGAAGGGCAGGCTGGCTGCGCTGGGCAGCTCTGGTGTCAGTCCAAGCGGCTATACAGACCCTTCCCCTGGAAATGCAACCTCCCAGCATGCGGTGGGCCTGGGGACAACTGCCCCTTCCCTGAGATCAGGGCAGTGCTGGCCCCCACCCCCACAGTAAATCAACTGCATCCCCTTCAACCAGACTGCTCTGCAGTGGCTGGGCCATCCCATCAAACTGGTGCTGTGGCTCCCAGCCCCCAACCTCCAACCAAGTTCAAGTTCATCTTGGCCATTACCTCATGTCTGGTTTCCCTTGGCAACCAGACAGACTCTGGGCGTGGCCCTCTTCAGTGGTGGCCGGCCTCCCTTTGGCCCTTCCTCCCTCCTTCCTCCCTTCCCAGGCTAGCTGCTCTGCTCTGGCCCCAGTAATGGGGGCGGCACTCTCAACTCAACATCCTCCCCCTCATCTGAGAGGGAGACTGAGGCAATACACTACTATTCCCCTGGGCTGGCTAAGCCACCAGTATGGTTTTGGGCATGTGGTGGCTTAACCCCTCTGACCCTTGGTTTACTCATCTGCTGAATGAGAGTGATGGGCTGTGAGCGGAAAGGGTTTGGTGCAAAATGCTCAGCCAGGGGGCACCCCATCACTCAGGAAAGGGGGTGAGCTGTCAGAGTCCCTGGAACCCACTCTGGGACCCAAAGCCATGGCTGGCTCAGGATTGGGGGGATTGATGGTGAAACACAGGGAGAGGGGGGTGGGGTATGGAGGTGGTGAGTAATTGACCAGGTGGAGATCAATGGACATTGTTCAGGAGGGGGCACTGATAGGGGAGAGAATATTGATCAGGGGAGGAGGGCACTGATGGAAGGTAGGGAGGGAATATTGATCAGGGGAGGGGATATTGATCAAGGGGAAGGGGCACTGATGGGGAAGGAAGTATTGATCGGGGAGGGGACACTGACAGGGTGGAGGGCAGAAGGGTGCACGGAGAGGGAGAGAAGCCACTGCAGGCTGGGGGCGGGGCGGGGGCGGAGGAAAGCCAACCTGCCAGGAATAATGCAGGCGGAGGCAGAAATGCTGACAGGGCCAGAAACCAGAGGCCTCTAAGCTCTGCGGCCGCTGCAAAGGGGCTCCGGGGCTCCGAGACGGGGGAGCAGGGTCTCACTCAAGGCTTCCTCTTCCTCCCTTCCCTTTCTGTGGGGGAAGGGAGGCCTGATCCCACCTAGGGTGCCCTTAGCCCAGTGATCCAGAGTCCAGCCTGTGCAGTGCCGGTGAGGTCCCCCCACCAGAACTGTCCTCCCTGTTCATTCAGACTGGGGGCCTTGTCTCCCCCATAGCCCAGGACCACTAGGGAGCCTCTAGTCAACTTGCCATCTCGCTTCTGTGCTTCCCCCCACCAACATCAGTCCCAGAAAACGCTTTCCAATTCCCAGACCTGGCTGTGTCCCTCCCTCACTCTAAACCCTTCCATAGCTCCCCATGGCCCCCAGCCAAAGCCCACATTTGGGGTTTTGCACATTCCAGCTATTTCTCCATCACCTCCAGCCTTTGTCAGTGCTGAGCCCCAGGCCGAGATGCCCTGGTCCTTCTCTGCCTGGCTGGTCTTTGCTACTGGGACCCAAGTCCCCGCCACCACCGAGGCAGCATCCTGAAGGCCCCTCCTTGGAGCTTCACAGCCCTGTCCCACTCCCATCGTCCCCCTGGCCGAGAGGGTGCAACGAGAAGCCTGTAGAAGCAAAGGTGCCTGTCCTTGCCCATCTCAGTTTCCCTCCCATTTTAGGCTGTCCACTTGGGGCGGGGCCCCATGCAGAGACTGAGGTGGAGGGTGGCTGGGGAAGGGTTAGGCAGGCAGGGCCCCTTCTCTGCTGTTTTTATTAATTTCTGTTTCTGAAGCAATCAGGACATTCCCAGCCTCCTGTGGGGCGGGGGCGGGCGAGAAAAGGCCTGGCTGCCTGAGCACTGGAGGAATGGGGTGTCCGCACTGCTGGAACTTAAGAGAGGGTGGCCATGGGGGACCCAAAACTCAAAGCGTGGAATCCTTGGATCACCCCAGCTTGCTGAGTGACCCTGATCAAGTGAGCCCTCTTTCTGGATCCCTGTTGGGGCTCTGCAAGGCAGAACACTTAACGTGTGGGCGTACAAGGGTGTGTGGGACGGCCTTGGACTTCTGGTGCCCTTTCTGGATGAAACTGGTTCCCTAACGTTTCAGGCCCTTCAAAAGCCCCCCAGGAGGTGCCCAAGGCCAGAAGGAGAGACAGAGAGGGTGAAACAGGGCTGGGTGTGTGAGGGAGGTGGGGTGGGGATGGCCAGGTCCTCCACACACGCCCTGCACCCTGTGAGCTATAACCAGACCAGCCCTGGAGGGTCCCCAGGAGGCCGGGCTGCGGTGGGTGGCTCCCTGGGCCTGGTCAGCATGGCTCTGATCTCAGTGGAGAACGGGACATGTGGCTACCTTGCCCCCACCTGTGCTCGTGGACTTAGATGCAAGAGACCCCCCCTCCCCACCGAGGCTGGAGGGTCTGAATGTGGCTCCCCAAACCTCCACTCTGTGGTTCTGGTGGTTTGAAGCAGTGGGGGAGCCCTAGGGGGTTCCTCCAAGGGCCTGTGGGAGCTGGCGCTGTCCTTGGGCCACTTCACATTCCATGACCCCCTCCCTCACAGGCGCCAGTAATCAGGGGTTCCAGGGTCCAGCCACCTTTCTCGGACACTCTGTCAACACACTCCTGGCCCGCACACAGCACAGACTTGAACCCTGACCCGAGGGCTGGAGTCAGAATACATGGGTGGGGGGCTGAGGCCATTCCCCACTCCTCCAGAAGCTGGGAGCCAGTCCCCGTTTTGGATCACTGGGATCCACTCTGTCCTGCACTGCTGTGCAACCTCAGGCAACTTGCTCCTTCTCTCTGAGCCTCCTGGTCTCGTGCTCAGCCTCCCCCGCCCCAACCCTGAGCACTCGCAGCTGCAGTGACACGGACTCTGCCTCTGCGGCCACCTCCCCACCTTGCAGGCAGTAGCCTGGGGTGGAGGCGTGCAGGCTTCACTGGGGGGACCCGTCATCTGTCACAAGCTGCCTCAGTTTCCCACCTGTCCCTGGCTTTCTGGAGCCCTTGCCACCCCCTGCCTCCGCCCCCCTGGTCCCCTCTGGCCTATGACATGGAAGGGGCCAAGATGGGAGTGGGGGCACTGCCAGCTCGGGCTGCCGTGCTGTGTGATCCTGGGCAAACCCCCGCACCTCTGTGGCCTCAGTCTCCTCATCTACAGCGATGGGCCTGGGGTGGCAGTAGCCCAGGAGGGTCTCCTGGTAGGGAGCTGCAGGGAGCATCTGGGGCTCCGGCCATACTGGAAGCCCTGGAAGGGCGTGGGAAGCTGGTCCCCCTGCCACGCTTAATGGCCACCGTGCCACAGGCACGGCGAGGGAGGGGTGGCGTGGGATCCAGCAGGCCGGCCTCTCCCTGCACACCCAGGCTGGCCCTTCTGCCCTGGCCCTCCCTCCCCGCCACCAGCCGGCCTCTTGGCCCCTACCTGTGCCTGATAAATGCCCGCTGGATCCCTTGGTCCTAATCCCACAAAGGAACGGTTTGCAGGGGACGTGCCGGGCGTAGAGTAGGCTGCGGGGAGGAGAGAGACCGAGAGCCCGTTAGCGAAGGGGGCCGCACGGGAGCACCCAGAGAGGGTGGCCGCTGCCCAGGGTCACAGAGCACCCAGTGCCCTCCCTCGGCCAATCTGGGCACCCAGAAAAGCCCACAGTCGCAGGCCCCTGGGGTCGCTCAGGAGGGGTGCCTGCTGGGAACGAAGGTGCAGGATGAAAGATTCATAATTCAGAAACTGCCTGTGAATTATTCAGGGCGCTCCGCTGCCTGGCCCATCCTGCGATGGCAGCCTGCATCCCACACGGGCGCCATCAATTATTGAGGCTACTGTAGTTACTAATTTTCCTCCTGGAGAGGCATGGAGAAGGCTGGGTATTTGCGTCCACATGCGTACATATATTTGTATTTTAATTTCATCCATCACATTTTGTGGGCAAGTGAGTAATTCACGGCTGGGCACCACTGTGGGTCAGGGGCCTCAGTCTGGCTGGGGTTAAGGTGCTGGAGAGTCCCTGCACGGTCCTGGCCAGGGCAAAAGTAAGTGGGAGGCAGTGAGGCTTGGGAGGCTCTGGGGGGAAGCAGGCTCAATTTGTAGTTAGGAACCCAGTGTTAGGAAGAAGAGGGAATCCATGTTTATTCTGCCGCTGTTAAGTGTCTAGTGTATGCCAGGCACTGGGCATAATCCCATGTAACCCTCTGTCACCTCAATGAAACCAACATTGTTCCCCGTCTCACAGATGAGAAAGTACACAGCCGGTGGCCACCGTCACCACGTGCTGACTCTACCCTGCACTTTGACACTAGACGTGCTCCCTGGTCCATCTCACCAACTTGCTCCCCACCGCCTTGCAAGTCCAGTATTGTGACTGACTCATTCTGCGGCTGAGAAAACTGAGGCTCAGAGAGGGGAGGACATTTGCCCAAGGTCACACAGGGAGTGAGCTGCAGAGGCAGGATTTGAACCCAAGGTCCCACACTGCATCTGGTGTTCAGATAAAGCCTGTCTGTACCTAAAGCTGCCCTGGGTCTTGGCAGGTAGCGGTTGCTGGGGGCACTTCACATAAGGAAGGGGGCCAACATGGAGGGGGCCCAGATGGAACTGCTGGCCCCTCTTGCTCAGGTGAGGTCAGGAATCTTATTTGGGGAGCGAGGAAGAGAGACACTCAGAAGGAGGGTGAGGGGCAGAAGGAGACACCGGGGAGAAGCCTGGGGGCTCTGAGACTGCCTGCGCAACTGGGGCTGCTCGGCCCAGGAAGACGCAGGACAGATGCTCTGGGGGTACTGGAGGATGGAGGGGGTCAGTGGCTTCGAGCGAGGCAGCCTGGTGAAGTGTGCACAGCCCGTCCAAGCCTGCTCTGGGATCTGGGCACAGAGCCCTTGCTGATGGGTAGACCCCAGGATGGGGAACCTGGGAGTGGCTTCCCGCCCTGCGCAGCTCCAGCTGGGGCAAGTGAATGTGCGGGTGGGCGGGGAGGAGGCCAGTGAGCTGTAATCTGGAGCTACACCTAGAGGGTAGAAAATTCTAGAAGGCAAAGGAGACTAACCCAGGGGCTTCTGCCAGGCTACCACCTGAGGCCACATCGAGGATATCAAGTTCTACAAGGCAAGGTGGCTAGCTCACCCAGAGCCTTGGCGGGGGGCGAGGTGGGGGGGGTGTCAGGCGAGTAGGTGGGGACTGTCCCATCCACGAATATGGCTCATCCAGATTATTGGCAAGAACAGGGCCTATTGTGGTCCTTTTTCCCCAGAAATTTGGAACTCCGGCATTTTTATGGAAAATGTCCTGATTTTAACAACAACAGGTCCTCACTGTCCACAAGGGGCAGCCGGGGGCCAGGCCCGGCACTCAGGCCACCACTTGGAGGTCTTCGTCTGTCTTCAGCGGCTTGCTGCACGCAGGAAGGCTTAGGGGCCCAGAGTGGGCACGTGGGAACCCCAGGCCACCTGGCCACTTGGGGCCGACCACGGACTTGCCCCTGCTGTCTCCTAAGGCTGTATCTGGGAACCCACAGAACCTGCCAGTACCTGCCAGGCTGGGCCTGAGCCCCCAACCCCAGCAGTCGGGGAGGGGAGTGGAGGGGGCCCCTTGGGGACGCCCGCCCTGCCACAGGCACCACTTCCCGAGTGCTTACAGGGTGAGGTCGGTGACGTGCTTCCTCCCTCGTGGGTGGGTTTGGTGGCAGGGGGAAGCGCCAGTCTCGGCAGCCCAGGGGGCGGGGGTGCCAGCATCTGAGCAGAAAGGCAGTGACTGGACATTTTGAGCTGACCACTTCCATTTAACTGGGGGGAACAGAGAGACAGGTGGTTAAGGTGGTGGCACCCCCTCTGCCTCAGGCTGCTGTCCGAGGTCCTGCTGGGGGACGAGGCTGGCAGGGCTGGGCAAGTTTGGTGGGAAGGGGCCCCGCAGGCCTCCAGCCTCCTGGGACTGCACTCCCTTTGTCTCCTCCTCAAGCCACTTCGTACCCACTTGCTTTCCTTCCACCAGATGCCGCCTCATCCTCAACATCACGGGCTGACCTCATGGGTGGTCCATATGCTTTTCCTCATTCACTACCAGGACCTAGCCATCCACCGCCTTGCCAGCAGTTCCAAAATCCAAAAAGCTCTGAACACCGAAAGCTTTCTGTGGAAGTCTGGCAGAAGCAGGCCTGAGCTGCAGCCACAGGACCATGTTTGAAGCACTTCATAAAATACATGCCGTCAACTCTAACACCTGGAAAGCCCGAATTCTGAACCAGCCCAGCTCTGAGTGCTTCAGAAGAGAACTGTGGACCTCCGACCGTCAGAAGACCACTTGACATGGAGATGCACATCAGAAGGCCGCCTGAGACAGCCCGGGGCCCCAGGGCGGTCGCCTGGAGCCCAGTGCCGGCGGGCGGTCTGCACCCTCCACACTCACCGGTCCAGGCTGTTGGCTGGCCGGGTCGCAGGCCAGTGAGACGAGATCTTTGAGTGGGTCCTGGGGGTTGAGGTGAGGCGGGTAGCGGATGGCTGTGTGAGGGAAGTAGGTGGAAGCCGTCTGGGGCAGGATGGAGGTGGTGGGGAAGTGCAGGGCTGAGGACGGGTGAGGGCTCCGGGCGATCCCTGCGGAGACAGAAAGGGGTGGTTACTGGGGGCCTGGCTCACCTGTTCAACTCCCTGGCTGCGCTGCTGGGCTGCAGCTGCACCGCGGGCTTTTGACAGTGATGAGGGCAGCGGGACTGGCAGCGGCCTCATTCCCAGCCCAGACTTGCTGACTGTCACAGAAAACCCTCAGGGTTCGGGTGTTATCCTTGTTTTCTGTTTGTTTGTTTGTAACAGAGGATGACACGGAGGCTCTCAGGTGGTATGTCTGCTGCCCCAAGCCACACAGCATGCAGATGGCAGACCCCAGGCTGGAGCCCAGGCCGTCTGGCCCCATGGCCCGCACCATCACCCTGGGCTTAGCTGGCTCTCTTTGTAAAGGGCTGGGTGGTCAATTTTTTTTTTAAATTGAGATATAATTTGCATACTATACAGGGGTGGGCAAAAGTCAGCCCCACTACCACTACCTCAGGAAGCAGTGGCACTAACCCAAGCAGGTCACTGAAATTCAGATTTGTTCACTGATTTTCAAAGACTACAAGAAGGTGTAAATAATAAAGGCCGGCAATGTGAGAACTTACAAGATTTTACCTAAGTGCACTGTGCTGCTGTGACATTTTTTTTTAATCCTCACCTGAGGACATGGTGATTGATTTTAAGGGGGGCAGTGGAGAGAGGGAGAGAAACATTGATATGAGAGAGAAACATTGATCGATTGCCTCTCATAAGCGCCTGGCCTGGGGACGACCCTGCAACTGAAGGCATTTGCCTCGACTGGGAATTGGGCCCACGACTTTCCGGTTAATGGGACAACGCTCCAACCAACTGAGCCACACCAGCTGGGACCACTGTGACATTCTTTTGAGTTAATAAGGCTACTGTGTAATGATAATAACCTGCGTGTCTTTTTTCATGCAAACAACTGCAAACCTGTGGCCACCCAGCCCTGCAAGGTCACACACCTTTTCAGCGTGTGTGAGTCCGGCACATTCCCGGAGCGGTGCGACCGTCACCACACTGGCTTGTAGAGAATGTTCGTTGTCCCCAAAAGAAGCCCCTGTTCCATCAGCAGTCACCCCCAACATCACCCTTCCCCAGCCCCTGGCAACCACCTTCCGTGTCTGCGGCTGTGCCTGTCCTGGACGTTCCGCAGGAACAGAATCACGCACACACCCTGTGGCCCTTGTGTCTGGCTCCTCTCACTGGGCATCGTGTGCTCTAGGTTCATCCATGATGGAGCGGCTATCAGAGCCTTGCTCCTTTCCACAACTGAGTAATATTTCATGGCGGTGTTTGCTTTTCTTTCCTTTTTCTAAACAATTCGGGGACTTTTCATATATTCACTCTATTCCAGAACATTCCTACCACCCAAAAAGAAGCCCTGTACCCATTCTCTGTCACTCCCCTTTTGTCTCCAGTCTGTGGCCAGACAGTAAATATTTTTGGCTTTTTACCATCTTGTCCCTGCTGCAGCTACTCAACACTGTCATCGTGACCTGAAAGCTGCCACAGGATGAGTGTGGCTGCGGCCATGGCTCAATAAAACTTTCTTTATAAGAACAGGCTGTGAGGGCCATAGTTTGCCAGCTGCTGGTCTAAACCACTGTGCCATGACTTTTTCTGCCTCCCTGTACATGTGTCCACCCTTGTATGGAACTAGATCGTTATCCTCACAGTGGGGTGACAGGCAACATTTGAGAGTTCACTGCAGTTTAACTCGGTTAGCCCCAGTGACAGCTCTGGGAGGGGGAGCCCCAGTTGACAGGTGACATTAGGGAGGGCCCAGTGCAGAGTGCCTGGCTCAGCTTACCCCCTGGAACTGCCGGAGTCTGCTTCCCTCTGTTATCAGGGTGACAGTTCCTGTCTGTGCGGCCGGGAATGCACCCGTAGCACCTGCGTGGCCTGTGCCTGGCCAGGTGCCAGGAGTGTTTACCTCCTTCTGTGACCACCCAACACCATTACTTGTGTGTAGGTTATTTGAATGTAGCATAAGGGAAGCAGGTTGAGGGGAAAGCCACAGGGCAGTGCCTCCTTCTCTTGCAAAAGGGGAAACTGAGGCCCAAAGAGACAGAGGCAGGCCCAGGCATTCTCTGTATGGCACCTCCAGGCTCCCCTGCCTGGCAGGGAGGCTGTAATAATAGGACTCCTGCTCAGACAGCTGGTTGGGCTTCCCAGGCCTCGAGGGGGCTGATGAGAGTGCCCCACCCCCTCCCCACCTGGGGCCTGGGTGCTCACCACTGTGCACTGCTATGACGGGCCGGTGGTGCTGGGTGAAGCTGGAGAGGCGCGGTGAGTCCTGGGGAGACGGGCTGTTGAAAGGTGATTTGTCCATCTCTGTTTTCTTCACCGGGGATGAGATGCCTGTGTTGAGGGGGGTCAGAGGGTCACAGGGCTGCAGGCCACTCCCAAGACCCCAGTCTCTCTACCGGACCCCTTGCTTTTCTCCCAGGAGTCTGTGGGCAAGGGGCTGGGGGCCCCATTTTATAGATGGAGCAAAGTAAGGCTCAGAGTAGAGAAGGGAGCCACCCAGGGTTCATAGCTTTGATGCCAACATGGGTCCCTGATATCCCAACACAGCCCCCCACCTTCCCTCCTTCCAGAGATAGGTCCTCCCAAGGGACGTCAGAGCCCAGGGGAAGGCAGCAGGGTGAGCAAACGGGAGGGTCCCTGGTGAACTGAGAGGACACGGACAAGCACCAGAGCTGCTGTGCTTGCGCTCCCTAATCCTTACAGGGGACAGAAAAGGACCTTCCTTGCACAGTCGTGGCCAGGATCACATGAGATACAACGTATAAAACCATTAGACCTGTGCCTGGCACATACCCACTTGCTGGAATGACTTGCTTATTGTCATTCCTCTGAAGACGGAGGCCTGACTACCTCCCCTGCCCTGGCCCTCAGGAACCCTGACAACCCAGCCCCTTGCACCTTGCACCTTCTCCATGAATGAATGAATGGTGTAAAATGGGCATGTGGAGAATCCATGGAGACCCTGGCACAGAGCAAATACTGGCTCAGGAAGGAGCTGCCGTCATCATGATACATGGGACAGACCACACCAGGGCCAGGCTCACATTAGCCCTGAGGAAGTGTGAGTGTCCCTCGCTTTCCTCCCTGCACGCCCACCTCCTCCATCCTCCGAATGTGAGAGCTAAGGGTGCTAGCATGCCCCTCAAAAAATGTAGCATCCTGGGCCCAGCCCTATCCCTGGAATTGGGATCTCAAAGAAGTGGGGCCAGGAAATGGACATGTTTAGAAATTATTTTTAAAGTGCATTTTAAAGTAAAACGTACCCATTGAGACCATGATGTAGTCTGACTTTCCTGCCACCCAGCACAAGGCCCCCTGCTCCGGGAACTGCTCCTCAGCACAGCTGACATCAGGGCTGTCCTGGGCACTGTGAGTGCTGAGCAGCACCTCTGGCCGCCACCCACTTGATGCCAGGAGTCCTCCCCACCCTCATGTGCCAGCCATGTATGTCCCTAGCCATCGCCCAGTGTTCCCCATGGGCACAGTCACCCCAGTTGGAGCCGCTGTCTTCCTCTGAGGTATGCTGTCACTGTTTCTGGGGTCTGCTGCCCAGGCCTCGGGGTGTGGGCATCTGCACATGTTCCCTGGCCCCACCCCGCCCAGCACGCTGTTGCACCCTTTTCCCGTGGCATTTCCATGCAGGGATAGTCCTGTCTGCTCCAACAGCATAGCTTGGAGTGAACCAGATCTGGGAACCAGGGCCCCTGATGGCCACTCAGGCTGTCACTTGCTTTTGCTGTTACAAATCCCTCCTGCCCGTAATGGCCCTGAGGACGCACTGTGCTATGTGAATGAGGAAATCCTGGCACTCGGGCCAGCAGAGCTGTGGGAGCCAGAGCCCAGTCCTTCCCAGGGAACAGGAGAAGCTAGTGGGATGGAGGGCTGCAGACAGGAGGGCAGGCTGGCTCTGTAGGCCATGTGTGTGTGTGGGAGGGTGGCAGGCTTTCTGCTGGCACGGGGCTGTGGCAGAACCAGGTTAGTGCTGTCAGACGCTCACTTAGGAGGACTTCCTAGAACAGCCTGTCCTGGATGGAAATAGCTTGGCACGGACCCGCCCCTCCTTAGCTTCCTGAGATGGGGCCTTGGAAGCCAGGACAGGGCCTGGGAGGGGGAGCCCGGCGGGCGCTGGGGGAATAACCATTCATGTTTCTGGGCAGGCTCAGAGGGCCCTGAGCACGCACCCCCATGTTGGGGCATCCCCCGTTTGTTTAGCAAACAGGTCTGTAATGCTCCCATTTGAGCTACTGCTGTCAGTTAACACATCCTCCTTCTAAGCTCCTGCACCTCCTTTTAACCTGTAATAGCCCCCTCATCTGAATGGCCATCTTTCTCTAGTACCCGTGGCTACCAGTCCCCACCGGAGCATCCCATGTGCCCCCAGTGAAGACACACACGTGCCTGTCTGTCCCACTGAGGCACACACTCTTCAAAGAGCGAGCAGGCCTGCACATCTCCCACCGAGCATCCGTTTGTAGAACAAGGTCACCCCACACTGGACTGCCAGCTCCGCTGTGGGTGAATCGAGTGTGATGTAAGGGAAGCAGGTCGAGGGGCAAGCCACAGGCTGTGGGGGTGCCCATTCTAGCTGAGTGCGGGGTTGCCAGGGCCTCAGAACACAGGGTGGTCGATGAGAGTATGTGGTGGGTGGAGTGCTTGGTTCTGCTGAGACCAGCCATCATTCAGGGGCATTTACTATGCAGCAAGGCCTCTCTCCCTTGGCACTGCACACTGGGGACAACCGCAGATGTCCTCAGATGCTGCCCAGCATGCCCTGGGGGCGAAGTCACCCTGGGTGAGGACCCTTTCCAAGGTCTCAGGCAGAGCACTCTGAGCCTGCTGTCACACAGTCCTCTCAACTACCCCATGCGAGGCTTCCAGGAGTCACCCCAATTCACAGATGTGGTGATTAAGGCCTGACGGGAGGTCACTTGCCCAAGGCCACAGGGTCAACAAGTGGTGGAGCTGGGATTCAAACCCAACTCAGTAACTCCACAGGCCATGCTCTGCCCTGCAGTGGGCAGAAGAGAGAGCCAGAGAGCCGGGATGGGGGCATTGCTTGCTTTGCCCCTATAATAACCACCTATGCGAAGGGCCTAACTCCCCAGAAGGGACATAGAAGCGGCAAAACAAAGCACCCTGGGAGCTGAGCAGAGGGTGCCCTCTTTCTGCCCCACTTGGATGGGTAATCAGGGAAGGCCTCTGGAGGAGGTGGCCAGGAGGAGAAAGGGCACTCCTGGCCCAGGCATAGACAGGTGGGCAATGGCCTGGAGGCTGGCTTGTGGGGCCTGAAAGATGTGGCTGCATGGGTCTCACCTGGGCGGAGCTGGCATGACCTCCTTCAGACCTCTAACCTTCCCAAGCAACAGAATGAGGCCCCTGGAGTTGGGGGTTAGCTGAGCACTGCCCTTGGCAGCCACAACAGAAGAAGGGAGAGAGTGCTCCAATCAGTTTAATTCTCTTAATGAGCAGCTAATTGGGGGCTGTCTAGACAGGAAGCTAGAGGAAACCAGGAGGAGGAGAAAGAGGAGGAGGGGAAAAGGAGGAGGGTGGGGGGTTGGGAGAGGACAGATGTATCCATCTCCCCTACTAGGCTGTGAGCACCTACAGGGCAGAGGCAGACATACAGTAGGGTTTTTAGTGAGGTTACCACAGGAGAAAGTGAGTTCGCCATCATTGGAGACAAACAATGAAGCTGGAGGGGGACAGACTGCCTGTGACATGCTCTTTCAGCTCCCTGATTCCCCGTTCTACACCAGAGGCTGGTACAGGTTTCCTCCTTGTTCCTCCATTGGTGCCATTCCGCTCTCGGGGCAGAAAGGTCAGACCAAGCCACAGTGACTTGCTCTAACTTTTCCTTCCTTTTAAAACTTCGCTTTTCTTTTCCTTTTTTTTTAGCTTCCTGAATTGAAAGCTAGGTTCTTTATTTCCGACCTTGCTTTAATCAATACTTAAGGCTATAATTTTACCTCTCAGGGCTGCTATGGCTACATCACAGAGGTTGTCTTTCAGGTCTAAATAGTATATATTTTATACTTCAATCACAGAGTTACTGAGAAGTGTTTTTGAGTTCCCAATCAGTAAATGACAGGGCAGAAGTCTTCCAATATCTGCTCTACCCTCAGTAACAGAACCCTTAAATTTTAGAAGGGCACATAATTGAGTACGGTAAGACTACAGTTCCCAGTGTCCCTTGTAGCAAAGTACAGCCATGTGACCCAGGGACATAGAGATAAGCAGGAGTGGTTAAGTGCATCTCCTGAGAATTATTTTTAAAGGGAGAGGCCATGCCCAGTTTTGACCCTCCTTCTTCCCTGCTGGCTGGAAGGCAGAAGCAGTTGTTTTGGACCACGAGGTGGAAATGAAAACCTCATTCCGGGAAGTATGAGGTAGGAGCTACCTTACATCACACCTGCCAGGGCTACTGATGGCTGGACATTTCTTGCAAGAGAAACACATTGTCCTTTTGAGTTTCTGTTTCTCACAATCAAACTTAAGGCTTACTGAATACAGGGTCTTTTTTTTTTTTTGCAAAGAGAAATTTTTAAAAAGATTTTATTTCTTTTTAGAGAGAGAAAGGGAAGGAAAAAGAGTGGAAGAGAAACATCAGCTCGCATGCCCCCAATCAGGGACCTGGCACACAACCCAGGCATGTGCCCCGACCAGGAATCGAACTGGTGACTTTTCAGTTCGCAGGATGATGCCCAACCCACTGAGCCACACCAGTCAGGGCTGAATTCAGGGTCTTTGTAGAGACAAACCTGACAGAGACAGGGAACCCACAGACACACTCTGGCCCATAAATTAGAACCTGATAAATACAGACAGGTCCTCCACAGTAGGTACCTGCTTTGGGAGCCCACACTATGGAAAAGGGGGGACCCTTGAGACCTCAAAAGTAACAACCAGAAGCGTTAGAGACCAATTCAGGGAGATGGGAATTTTATAAAGATACGAGCAACAATAAACTCTACTGTTTCCTGGGTACTTATCACGCACCATACAGATGCTCTACACACATTCTGCCATTTCACCCTTCCAACTTTCTGAAAGAAGTTATCTCATCACTCCTATTTTGGAATGAGAAAACGAAGGCTCAGGTAAGTTACCTGCCCAACGTTACACAGCCCACACAGTGAGTCAAAGGCAAAGCTGGGATTCCAACCCAGGTCTCTCTGGTGCCTGACCCCGCCTTCTTCATTGTAATGTTGCTTTTCAGGAATTCTATAGATGTCACACTTTGCGTAGACAGATCTTTACAAGAAAGAAGGCTCTACAGGGATAAGGAGGGAGAGAGGAGGGGGGAGGAGAAAACAGATCCTAAGATTTACTGGGTACTTATTATGTGCCAGGCCAGTTCTAGGGACATCAGATGTACTGATTTACTTAATCCCCACAACACTACTATAAACTGAGTACTGCAGGTATCAACGTCCCTTTTTCACAAGTGAGAAAACCAAGGTTCAGAGGTGGGGTCGCTAGGAAGCTATAAGGACTGGTGGACTCGAGAGTCCACCTTCACAACCCCTAGGTTATCTCGTGGGGTGAGCCCTTGATAAAAGATAAGGGACTAGATAGAATGATACTTCTAAAATGCAGGACACAGACCCTGCTGATAAGCCCAGAAGTAACAGGGACGCCTGCTCCAATGCAACACAAGCCTGAGAGCCACTTTGCACACTATTTCTTTAGTCACAGATGCCGGTCCGCTAGAAAAAACCTTAAGGCAAAAGGGATTTTTCAGATGAGAACCGTGGTGGAGATTGGGGCAGATGATATGTAAACAAAGAATCCCCAGGAGTTAGCACTCAACAGAAAAGAGACACTTCGGAACTGCGGCCCATGAGAGTCTGGAGAAGACCCAGCGAAGACAGAAAAGCAATAGAACAAAATCCCCCTGGAAAAGGCCGCTATGAGAAAAAAGAAGGGGCTCCTACAGAACCGGAATCACAAGGGGGACGATCCCATGGAGATGGGAATCTCATAAACGTAGGAACTTCATGGAGGACCCCACTGAGATGGAATCCTACACCTCAGGACCCTCTAGACGAAGCCTACGGCAGACTCCAGGAAGAAGCACCCTGTTAATTGGAATCACTATAAAGTTAACTCTATAATCCAAGAACCCCACTGAGATTAATTAGCCCCTGACAGGGAGAGAACAGGAGGTCGGGCGAGGAAGAGACTCCGCCCTCCCCGTCCTGAGCGGAACGCAAAAGCTCCGAAACTTGAGCCCGAACGCAAACGTGTGACTACAATTCCCAAGGGGCCTCACTGATCCAGACCCGCTTCCCGCTCTCTGGCGCGCGCGCAGTGCCTGCCGGGATACGTAGTCCCGGGTGCGTAACCCCGACCGGAAGACGGGTTCCACTCCCGCCGCCAGCCCCACCTCCTTCCATGTCTTCCGTCCAGTTTCGGCTGCTACTCGTGGGAGAGCTGGGCGACGTGTAGTAATCGCCACCAGGGCTTGTGTCCACGTCTTCCTCCATCGAGCCCGATTTGTGCCGTTTGCTCCTGAGGGGCGAGGGTAGAAGAATGCAAGCCGGTTACCACAGAGATGTGGGCGGAGGCGACGGGTTTTGCTAACTTCCGATCCTTAGAGGGCGGGGCGAGAAGTGTGCTCTCGCGAGACATCCTGCACTTTCCTCCAGTGCTGTTAGCACTTGTTTCAGCTTGCGGATTGCTCGGACTGAATACCTGGGGCCAGAGGCGGGGAGGGACCCAGCTGAGGTCAAACAGCAAGCGAGCAGAGTGCTGACTAAAGACTTTAGGCCTGGCCGGTCACTTGGCCTACTGTAATCCCCAGAACAACTGGTAGGATTATGATCCTTTTTTACAGATGAGGAAACAGAGGCAAACACGATGTGACCAGCTCATGGTCACACAGCACATGTCAGCAAAAACTGGTGTCTTCATTCCCATGGAGTCTCAGGGTTGGACCCGCAGGACTCAAGCCCAGAGCGGGATGTCAGGGCTGGGGAATGGGCACTTGGGGCTTGGTTTTGAAGGATGAGGGAGTGTTTCCTAGGTGGACGATGAAAACAAGCATTTCAGGGAAAGGAATCAATCACCTGTGGGCAGGTGATGGTAGGCAAGGGGTCATGAAATGCCCAGAGATGAGGACCCAGGCACGTACCCACTGGAGGAAGTGCTGGGTAGCGTTCTTCTCATGCCGGTACTGGCTGGATTCAGGTCATATGCCAAGTGCCCCTGCAGCTCCCCCAGGGAGAAGTTGGGTCCTGTTCCAGTCACCACAGGTGCTGCAGAGAGTGACAGAGGGGAGAATGAGGGAGGGAGTAATGCCCAGGACTGCAGTTTGCCCTGCAGCGGTGGGGAGAGCCCCTTCTCAAACTGGCCTCATTCCTAATTTATGAAACTGGTTTTATTCAGTGGATCAAAAGACCAAAGCCATCAAAAGAGGCCAAGGTCATGCTGTGGGGCAGAGGCATAGGCAGAGCTGGAGCCCAAGTTTTCCAGCACATCCTGAGGCTGATCTGGACAGGAAGACAATGGTCAGGATTAAGCAGAACTCCCTGGGATGGGATTCAAATAGGGGTGTCTGAGGGAACGGGGTGAGTCCCTAGTAGGTTTATAGGGAAAGCAAGGGGGCAGGAAGCAAAATGGGGGTTAGGACCTCCTGGGACAGGACAGGGGAAGGCCCCAGGAAGGAGGGATTCTGGGAAGGTTTTTCAGCCCCCTCACCCAGCATTTGGAGTCTATTTCCTGGGAAGAAGCATGTCACCCTGACCCTGAGTTCTGGGAAGGACCTGGATGCTGCTCTTCCTAGAAACTTTGGCTTGATGACGGGGTAGCTGGGGAGAACGAGGGGGAGACGTGGAGGGTGATGGGCTCTTCCTCCTCCCTGAGTTCCTCCCCTCTCCCTGAGAACCTTTCCCTCCTGGAGCCTCCATCCTGAAGCTCCTTCTGCTCTCCAACACCCCTCCCCCTGAACAAGCCCCTTCCCTCTCTGGGTCCCAGCCCAGGGTGTGTGGGGGCACTCACTCCTGGACACTTGGATGAGCTCGGTGACACTGAACACACCAGAGGTGACGAAGCTCTCCTGGAAGTCAGTTGTGTCTGCAACAGGGAGAGAATGGGCATCAGTGGGAGGGTCTGTTTCCCTCAGTGGACACCCTGGCACTGCCCAGACTCTGGGAGTTGGACCCGGCCCAGGCAGTTGCCTCCCCACCCCTGAAGCCCTGCAGTGGCAGGGCTCTCCAGCCAAGCCTGTCCACTCGGATGGGGGTCCCTCTGCCCTCACACTGCTAAAGTGGACGTTCCTATTATTTACAGCCAGTCTCCCCTTCTCTGGGGATTCAGGGCTCCCCAAGATGCAGCAGACTGCAAGCAGAGGCCAGATCCTGGTTCATCTACTCAGTAGTGATCTTGGGCAAATCCCTTCCCCTCCATGGTAATCTGGAAAATGGGAACCTATACTGTGTTGTCTGAGCAGCTGTGAGATAAGAATCAAAATACCAAGGAGGAGCCCTGGCTGGCGTAGCTCAGTGGATTGGGCGCAGGCTGTGAACCAGGCATTGCAGGTTCGATTTCCAGTCAGGGCACATGCCTAGGTTGCAGGCCATGGCCCCCAGCAACCACACATTGATGTTTCTCTCTTTCTCTCTCCCTTCCCTCTCTAAAAATAAATAAATAAAATCTTTTTTTAAAAAAGCTGTTAAAATACCAAGGAGGAGCAGGCTTGCTTTCCTCGCATCAATCCTCACACCCTAGGCAGTGCTGCCATTTAGTATCCTCCCTCCAGACGGAGCTGCGTGGAGGCAGGGCTGTCTCTGTCTAGGCCATGCCTTGTCCTCAGTGCCTAGACTAAAGCCTGGCAAAAAAGTCTGAGACCCACAGGCTGAATGGAGGGTTCACAGGTAGCAGATAAAATCCTGTGTCCCCAGAACCACACCCACCTAATGTCAAAGGAAGCAGGACTCTGGGGGCTGGGATGGTTTGTACACAAGAATTCACAGCAACGTGATTCAGAAAAGCCCAAAACTGGAAACAACCCAGTGTCTGTGGATGGATGAATACATAAACCCACTGTGGTCTCTCCAGGCAGTGGAGTATCACTCGGCCATAAAAAGGAATGAAGCACCGACACTCGCTACAGTGTGGATGGACCTTGAACACATGGTGCTCAGTGACAGAAGCCAGACACAAAAGACCACATGGGATGTGATTCCATTTGTGTAAAATGTCCAGAACAGACAAATCCACAGAGACAGAGAGTTAGTTCCTGGTTGCCAGGGGCTGGGGAGTAACTGCCAAGGGGGAATGAGGTTTCTTTTGGGGTGGTGGAATGTGCTGGAACTAGAGAGCGGTGATGGTCACACAACATTGTGGGTGTACTTACTGCCATTGAATGTTCCATTTTAATAGGGTTAAAGTGATACAATTTATTTTACGTGTATTTTATCACAATACAAAAAGAACACACTTCAATTTCACTAAGTCCAACATGAGCTGTGTCAGGCAGGGGTAAGGCAGGCAGGGCTGGGGAAGCCTACCAGGAAGGGGGCCTATCTTACACAAGGGACTCAGAGAAAGCCTCACTGAGAGAGTAATGTGTTACCAAGACCTCAGGGTTCTACTGGTGGACAACAGGAATACATAAGTTAACGTTTGTTAAGTGCCAAGGACAGCATGTGGCACAGGATAATGGCCCTGTGAGTGTCGGTATTCTGGTTAAGATGACCATAAATGTGATGTTTGGCCTGGGGGCTACAAAGTTCCTGGTGGCAAGAACAGTCTGTGCAAAGGCCCTGGGGTTGGAACACATTTGGCAAGTTGGAGGCCAACAGGGCTGGAGTGGAAAGAGCTTCTGAAGCCTTTCCATTCTTAGGGCTCTGCTCCCAGCTCTGCTTCAGGGAGAGTGGTCAGAGAGGAGGGGGGACAGGCAGGTAGGAATCTCTAGGCTTGGGCAGGAGGGTGTGCGGAGAGCAGTTCTTATGGCCCCTAGGGGGCAGTACTGGCCACAGGAAGCTCACTCCATAATGCTCACTTCCCCAGCTGTCCGACACCCTGGACAGTCCAGGAACCCCAGTCTTCCTGGTTACAAGCTTTGTGCTCACCATTTATTGAACACTTACTATCTTCCCAGGTTCATGCTGGGAGGCTCAAGGCCACAACACCCCAGGGAGGACAGGGCGGTGGACCCTCAGTATCCAAGGCAAGTGGCCATGGCTGCTTCCTGCTGACCCAGCTGGTGTCAGCAGGCCCCTCTGCCCTCCCCCCACCGGTGTTTCCTGTTTGTGCAGCACTCGCCCAGCTCCATCTCCAGGGGACTCCCTGGCGGGCCAGGGAGGAAGTGATTTCCTCCACCAGACACTGGAGCTCCCCAGGGGACCAGGCCAACCCTGTACAGCTGCCCCCTCCTCCCTTGAACATCTGGCTTAGAGAGAGGCTCCTGGGGATCTCAGGAGGCCAAGGAGGACTCCGGTCAGAGGTGACCAGTGAGGAGTGGCCTGGGGCCTGTGCATCTCCTGGAAACAGCCAGCCTCCATGGGCACGGCTGTGCCAGTCCATCCAACAGGACGCCCTCACACGCCGGCTGTTCCTTCCTTCCTTCCTCTGCAGCTCACCCGCTTTCTTGTCCCTGATGTACCATCACTTTAGTTTCTCTTTTCTTCTCCGCTTCATGCTTCCCTCTCTCTTTTATTTCTCTCTACAAATATTTATGGAGCACCTATGGTGTACTAGATTCTATTCTAGGCACTGAGGACACACTAGTAATCAAGACAGACAAAAACCTGTGCCCTCAAGGAGGTCATGTTCCATTGGGGAAGACAAGCAAACACATACGCAACCACTAACTGTCTCTGAAGGAAATAAAAAACAGAGGGCACTGATCAATCCAGAGTGGCTGAGGCTGCTTGAGCTGAGGGGGCTCAGGGAAGATCTCTGTGAGAGGGATTTGTTTGAGCTGAGACCTGGGAGATCTGGAGGGAGACACAGCAGATACCCATCCAAGCAGAGGTCACAGCACATGGAAAGGCCCCGAGTCAGGACCGTCCCTGGCATGTTGAAGGAACAAGGAGCCCCATGTAGCTGGAGCAGAGTGAGCAAGAGGGAGAGAAGGAAGAGGAGGGCAGGGAGGACAGGGTAGGGGACAAGTTGTGCAGGGCCTTGTGGGAAGGACTTGGGCTCACCCCCTACCTGAAGGTGGGCACTCTGGAGGGCTTTGGGCAGAGGAGGGGTGTGACCTACCTCAGGTGTTCCCAGGCACCCCCTGGCCACTTTGAGGAAGACAGACTGCAGTGGTCGGGATGGGGGACAGGGCAGGGCAGAAGCAACTTCCAAATCCTTCCCATTTTGGGGAGGGCTCTGCTCCCAGCCCTGCATCAAGCAAATTCTCCCACTTTCCACCTCCCAAAATAGAACGGACTTGTCCCACATATTGTTCAATGTCCCATGGGACCGCAGGGCCCTCTAGAGGGCCTCTCTTGTGAGGTGAGCACCTCCTGCGAGCCCTGATGCTCCCTGGGTGGCACCTTAACCTCTCTGATCTCAGCTTCCTCATCAGCAAAATGCAGCGCAGCAGCTTCCCCACAGCAGAGCTGTGAGGAATGAGCCATTCATGTGTGTGAGGCGCCCGCACACAGCCACCAGAGCACATGAGGGGTGCCCGGGCTACGACTTCCGAATAAAAGATGGGGAAGGGGCCTTGCTCCCCAGACTCACGTCCCCAGACTCACCCAGCGTGATGGGCTTGCTGTCCTCCTGGTCGGAGCCCATCCCGGCCCGGGGACTGCCACTCTGCTCCGCGTCTGCAAAGAGAGGGAAGAAGGCGGTGACACAGGATAGCCCCTGGACACGTGAGGCCCTGGGGTCTCTGCTTGGTCCCCTCCCTTGGCTGCTGCCCCAGAAGGTCATGGATGTCTGGCCAGGCACCTGCAGACATCAGCGCAGGTCCCCAAGGCTCATGCATACCCACATGCTAGAATGTGGTCTCACACACAGGGTGAGAAGTTATGTGCAAGGGCTGGCTCAGTAGAGGGTTAGAGCTCCTCCCTTATGAGCCTCAGTCTCCTCATCCGTGAAATGGGGTAGCTCATTCAATCTTGCCTCAGCCCCAGGAGGTAGAGGCTGTCATGCCCATCTTACAGATGGGGAAAGCAAGGGCAAAGAGAAATGAGTCCTTGGAGCCTCTCCCCTTGGCCTCTGCCCTTGAAGTCCTGAGGGTTCAGCCCCTTGGTCTTGGGGTGCCACTCAGGACCTCCAGAAAAGGGGCCAAGAGGTGTCCCTCTGAAGCTGCAATGCCTTCGCCCGCCTGGTTTGAGGGCTCCCTTCTGCCCCAGCATCCGCCCATCCATCTTATCTAAAAATAATCAGGCTCCTTGGCAGACCAGTGTAGCAGACAGACGCTGAGCTCAGCTCTTATTGGCTCCAGGAGCCTGGATGGAGAGTGATCGCGCCAGCTCCCTCTATAGCCCCCACGTCCACCCAGGACCAGGCTAAAGGGGGCACATGGCCAAGTCCATTTGGACAGAACCCAGCACCCACCCATTTTGTCTTTCAGGTCAAAGAGAAAGGTGGTGGGAATCACCGTCAAGTACCAGAGAGAGAGAATTGCATCCCCACACCCACTCTGCCATACCCCAGAGCTGGAAGTAATCGCTGTGTGACCTTAGGCAAGTCACTTAACTGTTGTGAGTTGTAGTTTTCTCTTCCTTCAGATGGGGGGGAGCATCGCCCAGGGCTGATGGGGTTGCCAGCCCAGGTGACAAGGAGATAATACGTATGAAGCACTTGGGCATACACATGGTGATATCCTTTACATTACTATTGTTATCATTATTATTGTTGCTATTTTTAAACCCCTAAGATGACCACTAATGTAGCACTTTGCTGTTTCATTTTCTATGTTCCCCTGAACCCTTAAGGGAACCACAAAACTGGCACCATTGTTGTGTCCATTTTATAGGCAAGGAAAACAGGACTGGAGTGATGAAAAGGTCCTCGCCCCATGCCACTTGCACTGTCATGAGGGTCACAGTTGAACCTTGAACAATGTGGGGGTTAGGAGTGCTGGTAAAAATCGTCCAAAAACTTAATAGCCTAATGTTGACCAAAAGCCTCACCACTAACATAAACAGTCTAATACATATTTTGTATGTTCTATGTATTATATACTGTATTCTTACAATAAGTTGGAGGAAAAAAACAAGGTTATTCAAGAAAGCCTATGGAATAGAAAACATATTTTTACAGTATTTACTGAAAAAAATCTGCATATAAGTGGATCTGCGCTGTTCAAACCCATGTTGCCCAAGGGTCAACCGTATTTCATTCCTGCGTCTGGGCAGGCAGCCAGACACCCAACACTGCGCGTGCGTGAGCCATCTGGCTTCTGGGATCAGATGCCTGAGTTCCCAGCGTCTGCGAGCTTCAGAGGAGGTGTGGTTGTGGGGAGGTCACTTCCCCTCTGGGGGGCCTCAGTTCCTTCAGTGTTGTCATGGAGATAATAATAATGATGATACTTCCTAAAACGGTCACGAGCCCTCGCTGTGTGCCTGGCGCCATGCTAGTGGCTCTGCACACACTGTGTGTTGCACATCTACTGGCTGCCAAGATTGAAGGTACCATAAACAGCACAGGAGCAGGCCCCGTGCCTCAATTTCCCATCCAGGAGTGGGATGTGGGTAGTCCCTTCTTGACTTGGCTTTGCAGTCCCAGCCGTGGCCGACTGGGCAGCAGTGGAGGGGAGTGTGCCCGGCTCGGCCCTGAGCCCTGTGGCCACTCCAAGGTCGGGCAGCCAGCAGCCCCTCGGAGCCGGCCAGTCCTGTTTGGATAGCTCCACGGCTGGGCACGGGTGGCCACTCCGTTGGGAAGCACCCAGCCTGGGCAGTCATCTGTTGGGCTCCGGGCCTTGGGCACAGGACCCTCTTCCGGAACTGATGCCTACATGGACTGAGCAGGCAGCAGTGCCCGGCTGGCACTCGGCGGGGAGGGCGTGCTTCTTGAGCACTGCCTCTGTACTTGTGGCTCTGGAACCAGGCAGATGGGGCTGAGGGCCTCAGTGCAATGCCTCGTTTCTCTCTGTGCCTCACTCTCTTCATCTGTGAAATGGGCACAGCACCCCCCTAGAAGGCTGCTCATCAGGGAAAAGGTGGTAATGCATGCAATCAAGCGCCTGAAACAAAGCCTAGAGCACAGTCAAGTACCTCACCAACTGGAGGAGGGGCCTTATTACTGTCATTACCAGCTCTGTTGTCCTTTGTGCCTCGGTTGTTCTGTAGCCATTAAAAGCAACTGCCCGAGGCTATGGCTGGTCCTAGTTGGAGCCCTTCTCTCACTGTTCATTCACTCTGTGTCCCTGGGCCAGCACACACACTCTCTGGGCCTTAGTTTCCTCATCTGTAAAGTGGGGAAGATAATTAATTCCCCCTCCCAGGGTTTATTGAGTCGCCTACTTAGCTAATAATAATTGTAAAGGATTGCCACCAAATTGACAATCAATACATGGTGAGTTTGGGGACAGATTATAAACGATACTATGTTTTAAATTTAATATCTGTTTCTAACTATCCATTGCCAGCATTTGGAAATGTGATTGGTTTTGTGTGTTAAGCTTTTATTCTGTAACCTTGATGAATTTACTTTAGTTCTAAGAGCTTTTTGTTTTGTTTTTTGTTTTTTTTTTCAGATTCCTTAGAATTTTTATGTAGACCATGATGTCCTTTGCGATAAAATGGGAACAATTTTATTTCTTCCTTTCCAATCTGCATGCCTCTGATTTCCTTTTCTTGCCTTATTGCACTGGCTAGGATTTCCGGAGCAATGTTAAACTGAAGTGAAGGGGGCAGGAGTCCTTGCCTTGCTTCTGAGTGTCAGGAGCTCTTTCGATCTCTCGCCACTAAGTCTGACGTTAGCTGGGAGTTTCTACAGATCCCTCTACTGGGCTGGAGAAGACCACTTCCTTTTCCACAGTCCTAAGAAATATTTTTCCATTTAAATCAGTAGAGTTTCTAAATAGTATGACATTGTACTTATATGCCACATCATTAACTTTTTTCTTATTTTACTTCATTTTTACTAAAGAATTATTTTACCGTATTTGCTTCATTACCATTTATCCCCCTTATCCCCTCTTTCACCTCCACCCCCCACCTCATTAAAATTTTTAAACATTTATTTTTTAGATTGTGGTTAAACACATCACATAAAACGTACTGTTTAACCATTTCTAAGTGCACAGCGCAGGGGCATCACGTGCATTCACAGGTTTTGTACAGCCATCCCCACTGTCCATCTCTACAACTTTCTTTCCCAAACTGACACTCGGACTCCATTAAACACTAACTCTCCCTCTACCTCCCCCCACCCCGGCCCCCACCATCCACTTCCTGTCTCCGTGAATCTGACTCCTCTGGGGACCGCATCTGAGTGGGGTCAGACAGTGTTTGTCCTTCTGTGTCTGGCTTATTTCACTGAAAATGGCGTCCTCCAGGTTCATCCACATTGTGGCATGTGTCAGAATTTTCTTCCTTTTTATTATGCCATCTTATTTTTAATCGTCTCTAAGACCTTAAAACATTTCTCATCCACCTGCTGATCACTTGCCTGCCACTTGACTCCTGAAAACTCCCCAGCTTCTAGAGCTGTTGTCTGGTATAGGAGCTGCTGGCCACATCACTTCGAATTGAAGTGAGCTGAATTGGAATTAAATTAAATTCTCAGGACATCAGTTGCACTGGTCACCTTTCGATAATTGCCATACATGGCTGGTGGTGACCAAACTGGGCAGTGCTAAACACTGCCATCATCACCGAAAGTTCTATTGGGCTTCTCGAGATGTCCCGTGAAAAATCAGGAAAAAAGGCCCAGCTAATCCCTCCTCCCATGTACTCAGACATCCAGACCTAAAATGGACCTTCCCTCAGTCTGAATGGGTGCACCCACAGTAGATCATGTCTAAAGGCCGGCTGGTGTCCGGTGCCCCTGCATGCCCCGTCCTCCAAGTGGGCAGCTCTCCGTTGCTGAGTTCTCACTCCGTTAAGAGCATCGTGGCACCATCTGATTAAATCCGCCCAATTGATGACATTGATAAGCTGAGGTCCAGTTCAGCGTCTATTTCCCAAAGCTGATGTCCATTAGAAGTTGTCTGCCTGGCACAGAGGTTTTTGTGTATTTTTTTTAAGATTTTATTTATTTATTTTTAGAGGAGAAGGGAAGGAGAAAGAGGGGGAGAAAAACATCAGTGTGTGGTTGCCTCTTGAGTGTCCTCTCCTGGGGCCCTGGCCCACAACCCAGGCATGTGCCCTGACTGGGAATCAAACTTGTGACCCTTCGGTTTGCAGACCAGCACTCAGTCCACTGAGCCACACCAGCCAGGGCTCACAGAGGTTCTTAACTGGGATGATTCTGCCCCCAGGATGATATCTGGAAACATCTGTACTTGTCACACTGGGGGTGCCCCTGGCATCAAGTGGGTGGGGTCAGGGATGCTATTCAACACCCCACAGTGTCCAGGCTGGCCCCCCGCAGAGAGTGACCTGGCCCAAATTTCAGCAGTGGGGCAAACACTGGTTCTCCGCGGGGCAGTAAAAGGGCTAAAGAATTTTGGTTTTTTTTTATGTATAAAGCCTATGTATAGATATACACCACAGAAATAGGTGTATAATACACCATGGTATTCAAGTGTTATGGGGTGAAGCGATTCGAGAACAAATGTCTAAAAGGACTCTTTGGGGGGAGGCAATAATGATATAAAAAGGGTCACACAGGTTTTTAAAGGGCTGTAAAAAGAAGAGAAGAAAAGAACCCA